CAACCATTCCCGTACCTCTGGAAATCTCATCGAAGTGTTCCAAGTCTCCGTCCAGAATGCGGTAGCCAGATATTTGCAGACACTGAAACATCCGTTGATCCATACGCCGAATTCCATACACTCTCTAGGAGATGGGAAGCTACTAGTTACCAATGACCACTACATCGGCGCATTGGTCTCACCGTTCATATCACAGGTCGAAACATTTTCTGGCATTCCTGGAGGTAGTGTCGTCTATACTGATATCCACAACCTGCAGCACACCAAGACGTTGACGCACGTCCCCTTCGCCAACGGCATTGCCATGCTCAACTCGACGACTGTTGCCGTTGCCTCGTCTTCCAAAATGGGCGTAAACATCTACAGCTTCTACCCTGACACGATCAGTCTGTATTTCAGAAAATATATTCGTGCGCCTTCGACGGTCGACAACCTTTTTGTCGATTCTTCTGGCAAGCTTCTTTTGGCAGGCCACCCTTTTGCCCCAGCACTCACAGCTGTGAGCAAAGCGAGAGCAAATTGCAACATGCAAGGACTAGATGAGGAGAAAGGACCTTGCGAGTGTACGGCGCCTAGTTGGGTGGGAGAGTGGAGCGAAGAGGAAGGACTGAAGACCTTGTATAAGAATGACGGAGACGAATTCTGCAGCAGTACTACGCTCGCTCGCGACGTGGGCAGAGGCGTGAGTATCGTCACGGCGTTATATGATAGAGGTATATTGGTGGCGAAGGGATGAGGACGACGCGCAAAATTCAACCAATGTGGACGGAGCGAGGCACCGATGTGTCCACACATGCCGTGATGAACATGGATTCTTTGTGAAGGTTTGCAAGACCAAATGAATATCTTATTGCAACAAACGCGATGTTAATCGGAGTTACAAAGTGGTCTACAGCTTAAGCAGGTGGCCCTATCGCGCGTTGTATCTTGGGGGTAGAAGGACCCAGTATGGGTGGCTTTTGCGAGTTTTCATTGTCGCCAACTCCCTACTCAGGTACTCCTCAATATGTAGGAGGAGTACTCAAAATCACTGTGGCCAGGACCGTACTTTCAAGTCGTCGTCACAAGGATATCGCAAACGAAATTCCGGCAAAGAATAGGGAGACGAGCAGCCGTTGAGTAGTTACTTTCTCAGTGCGGTTTCATCTTCAATGCTGTCTGTTCATGTCACCACCCGAGAGTGATGACGCCGTGCGAGTATGGACCAGTGCATGCATGTTGGTGTCACTCTAGGAATAGTGTCATAGCTCCATAGTCACATTTCAGCGCATCATGTATAAGATGAGGAGGGACGCTTCGAGCTACTATGTCTAATGATTGGCCTATATGATGTAGCTACGATAGGTTTGCCTGCAGTTCGCTTCCCTCAGGCCCGGCACAATCTTCCGTTTTGAGTCTGAACACCCTGTTCTCCGTCTTGAACCACCCACCTCTCACTTCCAACGGCAGTGGTCGCGTAGAAGACATCGGTCGGGTCCCACTTCTTCTTGATCTCGCTCAATCTTGGGTAATACCCACCGTAGAATGACTCTTGCCAGTCCGGTTCTCCAACGGTGGCTTCATTCAAATAAACACCACCACCTTCTGAAACGGGCGTAATATCGCGCCAAGGCTGTAGGATGTTCTCTTGGAGGTCCTTGTTTGCAAGACCGAGAGCTTCTGGTGTAGAGTGATCCATTTTCTTGTTCGAAGAGGTGATCAAGAACAAGGCACATTCGCGCCACGCTGGGTTGGCAGCATTGTTGGTGTTTGCGTACTCCTTGGGCGCCTTGTGGTAGCCAAGAAGATGTTTTCCAGAAGAGACATGTTCCTTGATTAGCGCAAAGGTCTGGTCGTACTTCTCTTGGAAGTTGCGTCGAGGAACGATGCGATTCGCTGACATTGAGTTGTCCAAGCCGATGGGGAATGAGTTACCACCCCAAGTCGCTTGATAGGCAGAGTAGAAGGTGGTATGAGCCACTCGCTTATGGGGGGTCGTAAGCGTGATATTGTTCTCTTCGAGGTAGTCGAAGAAAGGTTTGACGGTCTTGTCGTACGACTCCGCCGTATGGTTCGCAGCAAAAAGGAAGCGCATGTTGAGGAACGGCTTGGGCTCATTTCCCATGATGAAGAAGCTGTACATGCCTGACTCTGCCCAGTCAAGGAAGACATCAAAGAACTTCTTGGTGCCCTTCCAGAAGTCCTCAAGGCTGTTGTTCGCAGCATCGATTTGCCAGCCAGCAGTGACGACGTTGATCTTAGGATGTGCACGGATGATGACCGACACCACGACACCAAAGGTACCACCACCGCCGCCTCGGAGTGCCCAGAATAAGTCAGGATTGGAGTCTTCCGATACTGTGATGAAACGACCGGCGGCCGTTACGATCTGGAAGGCGACAACGTGATCGGCCGACATACCGTAAACACCAGCAAGAGGATTTTGCCCTCCGCCCGTGATCATACCACCAGCATATCCAACGCTCTAGTGAATGTGAGTTATTTTTATAAGAATGATAGACCAAGGAATGCTTACCCAGGAGATGGCACCAAGGACAGTGACACCATGCTTGTCCGCAGCTTCGTATACCTGCCTGACTCTAACCCCAGCGGCGAGCTTCAACGCCGGTCCTGAATAGCCTGGGCCTTCGTAGTTCGGGAGAAAGTCAATCTGTTCCATGTTATGCATCCACAAGCTCAATGCTCCAGCTCCAGTGGACTTTCCCAGGTAGCAATGACCAGTGTTCTTGATGACCAGGCGAAGATTAGTCGCCCTTGCGAAGTTGATGGCAAGCTGGATCTGCGCCACGTTGGTGACTTTGACCGCGTACTCGGGATATCCGCCAAGAGTACATGACTTGCCGTCAGTGTCGTTTTTGGGCATACAGGTCCTACCCTGAAAGATAGGCCACATGTCTAGAATCACGACGTCAGCAAATAGTCTGCATACGCTTACGGAAGTAATCGCATACTTGACGTCGGATCAGCCTCATGGAATAGCGGATTCGTAAAATTATTGGCGATATCCGTGCACTTTGCACTGTCTTTCTTGCCCCATTGTGTATCGTAGCACGGAGCAGCGATGGGCTTGGTCGGAATGAGTGCGCCGCCTAAAAGCACATTGAAAATGTCCCAGACGGTTTCCTGGGGCCACTCAGAGTCACCAGGAAACGTCTTGCAAGATGCAGAGGCTGCACGTCGTACACGCACATCACTAGCAGCGGTGCTGTCATCGAATGCGAAGTACTCGACATACTTCGAAACCCCCTCATCGGTCGTTAGACGCTCGATGACTGCGTCAGTCAATTGCAGTCTTTCGGATTCTTGAAGTGGTGCCCCTGCTGGTGAAGCGGCTGGAACGAAGGTAGCTGCAGGTTCGACATCAGGAAGAGGAGAAGATTGGCCAAGGATAGCCGCCGGGGAAATGAGCATGAGAAAGCACGTGGTTACCCGCTGCATAGACGCCATGGTGAAAGCCAAGAGGTGAATACGAGGTGGATGTAGGGAAGAAGCAGCAAAAGGATGCCTTCCCATTTTATCTTTTATCTTTAACCGTTCGGTAAATGTTCTTTCAGTTTCTCCCACGCGACTGAGCTCCATGATTCATGTGTGAGCGCTCTGGATGTTGCCACACACTGTGGAGTCAACCAGTGAGTGTCAAACGGGGACATAACAGCGAAGGGACGCAGGTAGATTACGCAGGGACTGCATATAGAAGCCGGGATAAATGGATGGGCCTGTGGGTAGAACGTGGTCTTGATCTGGACTGGGGTAGATTTGGCTCTGTCCATGCTCCAAATCGCAAAGGCTTGGAGCAGCCTCACGGCAGTTGCAAGCCAATAGAAACTTCCCAGCCCTTACACCGGCAGCAAGGAGCAGCAGGCAGCACAACATCTGCAAGCCGCTATAGAATGCCGATTGTACTACTTGAGCGAGCTGTGCATGCAGATCCAGTGGCATATTCGTCCGTTTAGAAACGGCATAGGTGGCTTGGCATAGGAAGGATAGATGCGTCTCTGGCGTGTTCACATGTGTGATTGCGGCGCGGTGCTTATTGCAAGAATTCTTGTCGCCACGCAGAATCCAGACCAAAGATTTGATTCCTACGAAAATGTAACTCTCGACATTACTATCGTAGCTAAGTAGCATCTAGTGGAACGTGGACTAAAAGGTTATGTGTAGAGTAAAACAAGCGTGAGATGGGTTGCACATAGAGTCGCAGGTGGCCGCCATTGAGAGGGGCGGCGGATGCATGGATGCCGCGGGCGCCAGAGCCTAGCGGCACGGTCGGCACGTTCAACAATCCCTTGCCATGTCGCATCTTCCCTTAACGGCCGCCCTTACTTCTCAACCGACGCGCCAAGCGCTTGGCAAAAGACCCTCGACCGCACACCTGCTTGTCCACGGACTCGTCACATCCTAAAATCCTACGATACTAGCCTATTGGTGGAAACAACGTCGTATATGACTGCCAAGGTTACCTAGGTACCATGCAGGTGGTTCAATGAAGCACTCCACTTACCGAGAGTCGCCACACATGTCCAGCACCACCGATGTACTCGTATATACAGTACTCCTATTCAGCCATTCAAGAAGGAAGAGGGGTACCAGATGACAAGAAGTGGATTGCTTAAGATCTGCATCTGCAGTGCTTAAGGTCAAATGCGGAATTTGACCTGCTGTTTGCGTAATTTTTGCGCATGAACATGATCCTTCCAAGTACTCCTACAAGGGTCGAAGGGACGGACCTTTGGGCCGTCTACGGCTCGGGGAATTCGGAAGACTACCTGAATTGCTCGAGTCAGGGGCGCCACACGGGATCAATGTAATTACTGGATACACATGCAGTACTCAAAGGAATGCGGCGTGGTGAACTCCATCACAGGTGTCAAGCCCACCAGCGTGGTTTGCGCCGAAGTTTAATTCATGTGAAAAGTAATGCAATTCGTATATCTAGGTAGTTGGAACGAACGTACCTCCTATCATACTTTCCCTGATCTTTTTCTGATCACCATAACATCATGGCGGGAACCGGACTTCAACCATTGAACATTTTCCTTATAGTTTTCCCTTTTGTTGTGTCTGCCACTATCGTGGCTATCAGGACATGGAAGAAGATCAAGGAGCGCCAGTTGGCTATTGGTATGGCACCGTTCCGCATGAGTCAAGTGAAGTAACTGCTAACCAAACCTATTTCAGAGGACGTACTTCTTATTATTGCTGAGTGCTTTTTGCTAGCCCTCACTGGAACACTATGGAAACGTAAGCGCTGATCCGGGTGACGGTTTTCTTTGACTGACATTTCCTAGTGGTTGTGGTCTCTTATGCTGGCTACCACCGAGAAGACATCCCCAAAGATGCTATGAATAAGGAACAAATTGCCCTCGTAAGTCCGACTACTCTCAAACAGTGGGGTAGCTACGTGTTGTACTAACAATCACGTTACCAGTGGCGCTACATTAACAACGCGACATACAACCAAATCCTTGGTCTCGTCAAAATCTCGTTCCTAATCACGTTGCTAAAGCTACGCTCAACGAATCGGCTCATTATCGCAAGCATATGGACTCTGATTGCCGTGAACATAGCCTTCATTTTCGCCGCCTTTCTTGCACACATCTTCCGATGCCAGCCCATCAACAAGTACTGGCAGGATGTTCCTGGTCATTGCCATAACAACACACAATACATCTTCGGTGTGATCGCCGTCACCATTGCCACGGATGTTCTTGTGGCATTGATTCCAGCATGGATACTCTACGATATCCGTATGCCTTCGAAGGTCAAATTAGAAGTCATTGTATTTCTCTCTCTCCCAATTGCAGTTACGGCAATCGGCTGCTATCGACTACATCGCTTCGTCCTCGTCTTCAGCTTGCCTAAAGGCACACTCGAGGACCCTTACAACGTGAGGAACGCACTTACAAGCGTTGAGGGTAATCTTGGTGTGATCGCTGCTTGCGGGCCCACTATCAAATGGATCTTGGTGAGTTACAACGGGTACCCCTGCACGTAATTATTGCTAATCTCTCCAACCAAAGGGTCGCTTTATACCCTATTTCGATACAGAGCGTTCCGAGGGAGCTTACATACCGAAAACGCCGAGATTGTCAACGCTTCCACAACTACAATCGCACGGCTATGTCAGAAGTCACGAAGACGTAGAGCTCCAACCCCATGGCATCGACGGCACATATCCGCGTGACGTCCGGAATCCATGTTGGAGAGCTGATAGCGATGCGGATAGTGAAAAGCAGTGTATTTCGGATCCAGCATGCAAAGATGGCAAAGACATCACGAGGACAACAGTGGTAGAATGGGAAAATTCGCCGTCGCGCTAAGTGAAGCATCGTCTTCCCAGTCGTTCATGACGAGGCAGATGACGTATAAGAGTAGTGACGTGTTGTTCAGCATGGGGGGCTATGTTTAAATTGCACATGATAGCTAAGCCTGATCTTATCCAAAATACCTTGACCTTCGGAATCACAGAGACTCCCAAGACACCTTGCCCTTTCCAGTCTCCTTCGAAACTTCAAGTCTCCACACCTATCACAATGAAACCTGAACTTTTCACTGCCGCTACCATGCGCGAGAAAGGAGCTATTATTCTTATATGACCACCTCTTCTATGCAGCTTGTTTCACTCCGTAGGATCAACAATGCGCAGTGAGACTCGCAAATCGGAGGCGGCGCATGTGATGGTCATTGGGAAAGAAGCTGAAACGGGAGCTGGCGTGGGCGCAGGCTCAAAACATTGGTCTTGTTCGTCCTTTACATGCAGTAAGTGAATGAAAGCGTACTTACATTGTTCGTTACTTCCTCCTTAGTCTCCTTGGTTGGCCAAAGACGACGGCTAGTGTTCTGTCGCTGGAGCGAAGGTCTTCTCTATTATGTCTAGGTGGAGCTTCCCGCTTACTGTTAAGCTTAATTAATCACCCCTACACGCTGGGCAACGTCGAAACTCTGAGAAGCAAGAGAAAGCAAAGTTTGCGAATCTGTGCGCTGTACCTTGTTAGTTGCAGAATGTGTCCCAAAGCACTTAACTACTGAATGCTGACTTTGTAGTCGTCGAACTACTGCTCGAGCACAGCTACAGCTACCTCAAAAGCTGTGTTGTCCTTGATGGAAGGCATGAGTCTACCAAGCGCTATCTGAGCAACCTAAGCCGCTCATCTAGTCCGCTAAGCGCATCTGCTTTCATCAGTTCGAATGAACAGATCCGCACCGGAGAGTATTGTTTTACAAATTGTGTCTTGTTCTGCTTTCTTTTTTGGCTTGGGTGGAAGAACGTCGCTGTCCTTCAGGAATGCGTCAAGCTCGTTCACTTTCTCGACTACGAGCGCCTTTGTCTTCGACCCTTTGTCATGACCTTCTTGCCTTTGACCCTTGGACGAGCGATGAGGCGGTCTTGCTGATTGAAACTACAATGGCGATCATGTGTTTGATCTCAGAGCGAACGTCTGGGTTTTTGACCTTGTCGAGAGGGCTTCAGTATGGAGGTGGGTGCGGCGAAGGGGATTTTAGCATAATGAACGATACCTTGGATTGGAGAAGGATGGCATCTTGCTCGTTCGTGTAGAAATATTAGTGTGGGGAATGCGTGCTGATTAGTGCACGCTGTCTGTCAAGTTGCAGTATGGTAGTAGCAGAATATACTTTGACGGGACTGATAGAACTAGAAAAACACGAACATTAGCTTGCAGAACGTCGACTAGAGCTACGGTAAGTGCGGAATCTCCAAAGGTGAAGATAAAAGCGGACACAATTGTGTTAATGTTCAACAATAGCATCCAATTGGAAACTAGAATTACGCAGATCTGGAAAATACAGGAAAGTCGTCGAGACGGCAGATTCGACGGATGGTGAACCAAGGAGCTGAAGATCTAATGGGTTGAAGGTCACGGTCAGGATTGACATGAGTCACATCATGTTGATTCTACTATAGCAGCAAGGCGCAGCCTGCCTACGGGACCTCGAGTTTATTCTCACGCGTACAATGCTATGTATGTGCAAATAGTCATCTCAGACCCTGTTACAACTCCTCTTTGTCAACGCCGTCAATGGAGACCAACTCGGACTCGAAGACTGTCATACGTCAGTCAATGTATTCGCCGTGTGTCCCAATAGCACTTACTCAAGACGCTGTTGGCGGGGATGGGGCCAGCACCCCGCGAGCCATAGGCCCACTCAGGCTGGATTGTGAGCTTCCTCTTTTCGCCGGGGCACATGTCTAGCAGGCCCTGGTCCCATCCCTTGATGACTTGACCGGTACCGACGGCGAAGGACAAGGGCTGGCCGCGGTTGTATGAGGCGTCGAATTCGCTGCCGTCGCTTTCGAGGGTGCCGCGGTAGTGGACGTTGACCTTGTCGCCGGCCTTGGTCTTGCGCACGCAGTTGGCTTCGGTGAGGACTTCGGTCTTGAGATGCTGTACAAGGCGTTAGCACGCCATGCATGCCGTATAGCTTCGCGGGGTGTTACTTGCCTCGTTGTTGACAATCTCGCCAGCGAGAGCGGCCGTAGCCAAGGCGAGGATGAGGGTGAGCTTCATGCTGACGTCTATGTATAGTGAATTTGCTTTTCGGACACTCCACGGATGTCTATGAAGCAACCTTGGAAGGCGACGTTGCAATGGCGGCGGGTGGAGTGTCTATGTGGGGATACATGTGGCGCCAAGCGGTAATGTGGCCCAAACCATATGCAGGGACCTTGGGGACGTCATTGGATGTCGCTAGCGTCATTTTACAGCATCGAAAAGACCACGGACCCAATACCTACTTCTCTGTCTTTCGCGCTCAAGCCCGAGGGGTCTTTTCGCGACGGACCTTTGGTTGTGTACATTGGAGGGGGGGGGAGATATTCGGTAACGGTGGTTGACCCAATACCTACTATCTCATCGCTCGGGAGCCGCGGTACTATGACAACGACTGTTGTGAGTAATAATATCAATATGTCTGATGAGTAATAGGGGACTGGTTTCACTCTTAAAGAACCAGGTGTTACTAATAACCATAAAACCATCAGTGGTAACCTCAGAACAGCGACGCCACCCCTCTTCCAAATGATAAGAACACGAATTGAAGAAATCATGACCACACATCCTCCCCATCGAAACCAACTCCCTCTTCCCCAAGACTCTTTACCAAGAACAGAAGGCACGATCAATAGTAAACCCCTTTTTGCAACCCAATCATACCCTCCTCCCTCCCATCCATCGCCACACTCTTGATACCAAAATCCTCGACTGCCAAATCCGCAGCATCCAACTCCGCGAGAACTCCAGCCTCTTCCACCTCTTTCCTGCTTCCGCCAGAGCTGCCCTGCTCAATACACTTAAAGCTTCCGAACTTGGGCATGCCGATTGCGATACCGGGGAACGTCAGCTTCTGAAGAATGTCGCCTGTACACGAAAAGTTCTGGTAGAGGGCGCACGTAGAGCCTTGATCAGGTCCGAGTGATGCGATACCGCCAGGGCTGCCTTGGATGTGGCATTCCGTGTTGGGTTGCGTCCAGCTGCATTCGCCGGCGAAGTTGGATTTGGTGCAGGTGTAGTAGGCACCAGGAAGACCGCGCCGGGAAAGAAGATGTGTTGGTAAGGCTGAGATGGTGGTTGTAGTGGTGGCAATGGTGAGTAAGAGGGCTATGAGCGCGATAGCTGTATACATTGCCGGGTTCGTTGGACCGGACGACGATTAGGAATTAGCTTTGGGCTATGCCTGTGTGTATGGCGTAGTGCGCGTATGTGTGTAATTTGTCTTTGGGGAACACTTGACTCGGTGTTTCAAATGTTCTTATGACAGCCGTGGGGTGTATTTGTGACTGAGCCTTATCGTCTTGTGAGCCACCGAGCCTCATGATTGTCTGCGCGCGTCGTACGGACGTAGATTATACGGTCACGGGTTTGCGTACCTATTGCACAAACGGACAGGTTGGTGCATCAAGCACAAAGTCTGGAGTTTGTCTCTTTGTCACGGACAGCAAACATCTACAAGGAGATGTAGAGATGTATTGGCGTGACTCCATGGCGATGACAACGCCACGAAAGCTTTCAATAGGCCATACGAAGAAACCAAAAGACGTATAGAGAGGGGAAGAAGAATTGCAAGAGTGCCAAAATATCCAAAGACTAGAGATGTGAGAAGGTGATATGTGCTACAAGGTGCATCGGATGCGCTCCGCAACGATGGCGCGACATGGGTGGGTTGCTGCTTTGAAACGTCCTTCAGCGGGGCTGATGATGAGATGCAACCAAAAGGGTCGCAGTACTCGCAAGCCCATGCCACGAATCGTCTTACAGCCGCGAACTCGCTGGGGGACGCGGGTGGCATGCATCTGGGCTGTGTCATCAACGTGTCGCCGCCAAGCTGTCGCCGGTGCCGCCAATACGCACTTTTGGCTTGACAGGTATGACTGGGTTTGGTTGGTTATGATCGTCAGGTACGAAGCTGCGAGACGTCTGCAGGATGCCGCTATAGTGGACAGCGATCTTACACGTCGCATGGGTCGTGCATTTACAAAAGTGCTGCTCTTCGCGTCGGGTTGTAAAGTTTGTGTCGTTTTGGTCGTACCTACCTAGGTAGGTAGGCAGGTGTGCATGATAGAGGCGCGACGGTGACGCGCCGGCAATAGGTATGCACATGCCATGCCATGCCACGCCAACATTGAACTCACATGCCATGCTTTGGACTTGAAAGGCAAAGAAAAGGGTCCATTACAATCTCACTCCTCCTATTTTGCGCAGGGGCTGTTGGGTACAGAAGATAGATTGCGCGGTCAAAGGATAGGTAAGTCGGCCGCAATTTGCTTGCTTCTGCCAGCGTCATCTTACACTCGGCAATAGAAGAACGTTATCTTCACATGAGTCTAACGAGCCATCACAGTAAACTTAATACAGGTGTACATCAAAGGGCGAAGGCATCCTCGGACCCTACAGGTCAGTGGCTATCGCAAGCCCGACATGCAACCCACCACCATTTCCACCCTTCCACATCTACCAAACGGCCCGACACGATCCGAGG